ACCATGGAGATCTAGCTCCACAGCATCAGTTACCATGGAGATCTAGCAGGTTAGAAGCCTTTGCGACACTGAAAACTCTGACTTTAGGCTCAATATTCCTGCTAACCAACTAATCTCTCTTCATTGTGCAGCCCTCTGGCCAGAAAATGTTGTCGACAACGATGTAAACATTCTCGCTACACTTGCACATCTTGTTTTCGCTTCAGGTCTCAGCGTGGACCTGAACTAACGTCTGAACAGTAGAACCAGGTTTGGTACCTCTGAGCTTCTGGTCCGGCTGTGTGTAGACGCCGCTGGTCGTTGTGACCTTGTTGTAAGCTTTGGTGTAGGCCCTCTTCCTGGTGGGCACGAAGTCCGGCGACATGTCATCGTCGAACCCATTGAACAGACTCCTATTCTTTCTAGAACCCCTTCCTCCTCTGCCCCTCCCCCTCCCCTTCACCCATCCTCCTCCCCAGTCGTCTTTCTCGGCCTCCCATCTTCCTCCTCCTCCTCCTCCTCCTCGGGGAGCCTTCACCACCACATTCTGGGAGAACTTCTCCACAGAGCTGAACGACAGTCTGTTCAGGGAGACGAACACCTCCCTCATCTTTATGCTGCTGCTCAGAGGACTGGAGGAATCCGGAGAGGAGGCGGCCTTCAGGATGAGCTTCCTCTTCGCCTTCGGTTCTTCAGGGTTCCCTAGAGCGAGCACACAAGCGTCCATCAGACATTTTACACAACAGTCAGGAACAGAATTTGACAGCATGCATCTATTGGTGCGAGTCAGAACATCTAATGATGCGTTATTATGGGTTTTTAACCTAGAAGCTGGCATCATGCATCATCTGTAGCAGGAAATAGTTGATCCAGAAATATTACGAACTCAAGTTTTTAGTTTGTCTTTTTTCTATACAGCTGAATTTTAAAAGAAAGCTGAAGAAAAACCCTTTTATTCCAGAGGTAAGAGCACCTCAGTCAAACTCTCACTGACTTTTGTAATAAGGATCAAGCAATACGTGTTTTTTGTCGTTGACGATTATTGGTCATCAAGAAAGGCCGCTAAGCAATATTTAGAACCCATCTGTAATGTTTTAACAGCATGTGACAGCAGAGAACCTGTCGTTCATAACCAGGCTTCTTCATTAATAGGGTGACTCCATGTAAAACAGAAACAGGAGTGGTTGAACGTTCGCCTCCTTTTATGTGGATCCACAGAGATTAATCTCCTGCTGTTCTTCTCTATTTTCTTAATATTTCACTGTTCTCTCACTTTTAACACCCACTGAGGTCCAGATCTTAAAATAATTATTGTTTTCCAGACTCTGATTCAGGGTAATCTGTAGCCGCCTGCTAGCTTAGCCGCTAGCGTAGCATTAGCTGCTGTGGGAGCAGCTAACTTCCTGGTTTCTTGTGAGGCTGCATCACGCCTGAAGTGGGGAATTTATCATTGATCGGCCAATAAAAATACAGATAATCAGGAAAAATGCAAAACATCGGCCGCGATAATCGGCCTATCCCTGGTTTGTAGTAACACAGCACTGACACTAATTCCTCAGATGTATTTAAATTATAACCTGAATAAGTGGTGAACTCATATACATGCATCAGCCACAACATTAAAACCAGCTGCTTCAGTTCCTCTACACAAGAATCTACATCATTACATTTCTATGTATAGATAAGTGCACTATTATTACTTTCCACATCCAGAGGGCAATATCTGAACTTCTACAGAAGTAAAAATCTGTAAAACATCAACCGTTCCTTTGTATATTTCTTGTTGATTTCTATTTTCTGCATATATTTCCTACATCTTCGCTTTATCCCCTCTGCTGCTGTGACAGTGCTACTTTCCCCTCATGCCGTCTGACCCATCGAGGCCTGGAATCCACTATTTTATGCTAAAATTAGAACTGTCATAAGTTCAGCAGCTGATGCAGCAGCAGCAGCAGCAGCGACTGTGTTAAACCACCTCCTGCGAACCCACTTTTACTTGACAGATGTGGCACGTCGACTTAGAATCTCATGGAAAGCATTTTATTACGATCAGATTTATGTCATCTGAAGGTGTGCAGAAGCTTGTGGATCAGAGGCTAAACCCAGAAGTGACGTCTAGACTTTAAAATTCTATGTTTGTACCTTTTAGAGAAGTTGTTGGTTTGAGTCCATCGGGCCCCGAGGGCTGAAATCCTCCAAACGCCCAGTCTAGCATCCGCTTCAGCCGCTCGTCTTCGTCCTCGGGATGCGAAGAAAACTGCTTTTTACAACGCAGAGCTGCCTCCTGGTAGACGAGAACAACAAATACACATCATGTGAGGGTATTTAATCTGGTTCTGTTTGAAAGCTGATCATGTTTGACCACCTTTTTCATTCGTATGAGGAAACACACGGACCTGCAGGGCCAAGGAGACGGCCTCCCGGTAGGAGACGAGGACGCCGAAGGTGTTGGCAGAGAAGTTTTGGTCGAAGGCAGCGAACGACGCCAGATCTATCACGTTGACCTGGAATCGGAGAAAAGAAGTTGAAGGCAGATATAGGAAGGTAGTGAATGTTTTAACACAGATGTGAGAGAAAAAAAAGCAGCTCGGGTTTGTTAAAAGTAGTTTTTACTGTTAAACTAACACTAACAGACAGCGCTGTGTCTGCTGGGAGTCTGAAGACAGAAACTTGGTGGTAAAAATGTGGGAATCTACTGTACTGAAGCTCTAAAGTTCACACATGTGCCCTGTCCCGTAAAACCTTCCTGTAATTTGACATACTGTTCGGACTCACCCGAGACACGCCCTGGCCGTACCACGCCACCATCCGGTACCTGGGATGCTGAGTCTCCCCCCTGCTGGGTACGACGATGCCGGGCCATGGAGAGAAGCTGTCGACCTGAACCCAGACCAGCTCCCCCTGTGGTCACAATCACAAATACCTTATTGGATTGTTTAAAAACTGGAATTACGAGAAAATGGTCAAAACTAGAACCGCCCACCGTTAAAGGACATTATTGTAATATATTATATACATTATGGAAAAGCTGACATTGTTAGTAAAAGT